TTCCTTCCTTCCTTCCTTCCTTCCTTCTTTCCTTCCTTCCGTCCTCCTTTCCTCTTTCCCTCCCTCCCTCCCTAGACACCGGGCCATTCATAGTGAAACTAAGTGTGGACAAGGATAGTTTTTAAAGAAGGATTACTTTGCCCACAGTAAGACCTAAGAATTAAAACAACAGTATTTAGGGAAGGGGTGACTAATACAAAGCACTGAGAAAATTTGTTTTGTACTTATGTATGTGTGGGTATGTAATAAAGTTTTTTGTCAAATACCTGATATCAAAATGACTCCCTAATCAGGTTGGCCTCTCTCCCAACCTTTCCAGACTAGCAAGTGGATTTTAAGAACACACCAGACTTCAACTGTCAGAGACTTCTCAGTTGTTCTCCATCTGAATCAGGTGTTTTGATCACTGTTCTAGCTCCTTGAACAATCAAATCACCTACTTTAAAACCCTATCTACTTACAGTATTCTAGGAGTAACCTCTAAGTCATTTCAATCAAAATGTCTGTTTGTAATTAACAGCTTTTCTCAAAACACCGAAGACCCGAAGTCTTTACACTATAAAGAGCTGATGTCGCCCTGACAACCAGCTAGAAAGTTCAGCTTAGAGTATTTACTAAATACATTGCAGTCACCTCCTGCTTTGGGTCAAAGTGGGTAACAGGGTGGGTGACGGCTTCAGACTTTATAATCTCATTTCGTTCCCTAGACAAATGTCCTGTTGTCCATTTGTTGGAACACTGAATGGAAAATTTATTTTTCAGATTCTACAGTTATAAGTTCAAATTTAGGTGCTTAAAAATAGTAACAGAGGTGATGTGCAAACAGAATAGCTATGTGGTCACTGATTATTAATTTTGATAAGAGAGTAATTCAGCATAAAGCATTAATTACCTATAATAACAAGTCTCAAATACCAGCCAAAAGATTTCCTTATAACTAGCCTAAGAGCATAAATCAAATACATCTTAGAAAAAGAGACTCTTAAATCTCTTTCTGGGCTCCTTGGTTATCTTTCACATTGCCATGGCAGGAGGTTGATGGTGGATAATCACATAATTTCTTTTTAAAAATTTTTATGTATTTATTTATTTTAGAGAAGGGGAGGCAGAGGGACAGGAAGAGAGAGAAAATCTCAAGCAGACTTCCGGCTGAGCAAGGAATCCAACATGGGGCTCATTCTCCCGACCCTGAGATTATGACCTGAGCTCAAATCAAGAGTCAGATTCTTAACCCACTGAGCTACCCAGGCGCCCCAATCACATAATTTCTGATGAAATTCTGTAGCGCTGATTCGCGCTCTCAAATGATCTCTTCCTCCCTTCACCCAGTGACCCCATTTAAACTTAAGAAACAAGATCAAGGTCACACATTAAGTCCCTTTTTCTATCCTCTTCATTTAAAAACTCCTGTCCCGGAGCAAGATGGCGGAGGAGTAGGAGACCTGGATTTCGTCTGGTCTCAGGAATTCAGCTGAATAGGGATCAAACCATTCTGAACACCTACGAACTC